CCCCAAAACCCCAAAACCCCAAAACCCCAAAACCCCACGAATAGTATTTAAACTGCAAATTTTCCTTGATGAATAATTAATAATTAACAATACTTTATGGATAATAGTAGTTCAGACCACGACTCTCAACCAGAGGTCGTCTCTAATATTTTCACTGAAAGATTCACTGAATTCAATGACGACGGTACTTTCAAGAACGAATTAGTGGAGCATACTATTGAGACTGAAGCCACTGTACCAAAGCTTGGACTCATGCTTGTTGGACTTGGTGGAAACAATGGATCTACTCTTGTTGCAGGACTCTTGGCTCACAAGAACCAAGTTACTTGGGAGAGCAAGACTGGTGTTCATACTCCAAACTACTACGGAAGTTTCACTCAATGCGGTACTACTAAGGTTGGTATCAAGAAGTTGCCAAAGGGTGGCATTAAGGATGTCTATAAGCCAGTCAAAGACTTGCTCCCTACAATCAACCCAACTGATATGGAAGTAACTGGATGGGATATCTCTAAAGACAACTTGTTTGAAGCATGCAAACGCTCCCATGTTCTCGAACCAGATCTGGTCAACAAACTCGAAAGTGATCTCTCTCAAATTGTTCCAATGAAAGCAGCCTTCAATCCAGAATACATTGCTGCTAATCAGAGTGACAGAGTAGACAATATACTTGAAGGTACTAATGAAGAGGTCATTGAGCTCATTAGAGCTGATATCAGGAACTGCAAGGAAAGAAACGAAAAGGTTATCGTTCTCTGGACTGCCAACACTGAGATGTACCTTCTCCCAGAGCTTGAGACTATTGAAGACTTGGAAAAAGCCATTAAAGACAATGTCTCTCTCCCAGCTAGTGTTCTCTACTGTGTTGCCGCCATTAAAGAGCAAGTTCTCTATCTCAATGGATCTCCTCAAAATACCTTCCATCCAGGTGTCTTGGCTCTCGCTGAGAAGGAAGGAGGACTTTTGGGAGGAAACGATTTCAAATCTGGACAAACCAGATTCAAGACTGCCATGAGCGACTTCCTTATTGGAGCTGGACTAAGAATTTCCTCCATTGTCAGCTACAACCATCTCGGAAACAATGACGGAAAGAACTTGTCTGAAGACAAGTGCTTCCAGAGTAAGAAGATCTCAAAATCTGGATGCTTAGACGATGCTATTGAAGGAAATGAAATCCTCTATCCAAGAGACGGAAAGGACATCGACCACGATGTAATTATTAGATACATTCCATTTGTTGGAGATTCTAAGAGAGCTCTCGATGAGTACTCCTCAAAGATCTTCATGGACGGTGTCAACACCATCTCAACCTACAATATCTGTGAAGATTCTCTCCTCGCAGTACCAATCATGATCGATATGGTAGTCTTGGGAGAACTTTTCTCTAGAATGAAGGTAGACGGAAAGGCTTTCGGCCCAGTTTTATCATATCTCTCGTTCTTCTTCAAGGCTCCATCTACGAATCACCCAGAATATGTGATTAACTCATTCAACAGACAAAGAGAGACCATTGTAAACTTGCTCAAGGCTGCTTCTGGAATCACTCCAGACGACGCCACTCTCTTGAGCTTCAACTACTAATTATGTATTAACTAAGTTTGGCTAAATTTGGATATTTCTCATCATTTTCTTTTAATTTCTAGAACTTGGCATCTGTTCTGGCCCGTACTGGACCAATTGGCGTGTTCAAATAGACATTTCTAGAATCAGAACCCTGTTTATGGGATTCCACACTAATGTGCAAATTTTCCTGCATCATGATTTTTAAACATTCCTAGGTGTGGAATTCTATAATGCCTCAGTGTGGGGTTTTGGGGTTTTGGGGTTTTGGGGTTTTGGGGTTTTGGGG